TACTGCATCCTTCAGCATGTTCCAAGGAAAGCATGCAAAGTATTTTAACTCTGCTGTACGCCACATAACTCAGCTTCTTAACTGCTTAGAGTGACTAGTACTACTATAGAGGGAGTAAAAACTATATATTTTTAATTATTTTGATAAACCAGTCCAGCAGCGTCATTGATGTCATTTATTGTATCTGGTTTCAAGCTGAGATTGCTTCAAGGTGGCATGTCATTAGGGCTTTCAATGTTTCTTCATGTAGGAAAGATTCCTAGCAAACTTGCTTTTATACTGATGAAAGAGGACTTCAGTCCTGTTGGAGTAAGTTGCTACTCCTTCCCAGAACAGAATTTGGAAAATTTCACTTGCATGAAGTCGAAGTCGTTTCTTAGTTAAAATGTCCTGTCTCATTTCTTGTTTTCAAGAAGAAATAGTTGGAAAATAAAGACTGTGAAAAAGAGCAAGTGGGTATTCTGCAGACTTAAAAGAAAGCATTACTTACAGGTTATAGCGTTTTCACAAACTTTCTGTAACTTCCCAAACACCGAATGCTGTTTCCTTTAAACTCTTTTGGCCCAGAGTAACACTGTGTTCACAGTAATGTGCTCACTCACACTTCTCCCTTTTTATCCCATGTTATTGATTCATTTTGAGTTTATAAAACATACCTTAGAAATGTAGAGCTAAGGGAACATTAAATTTTTCCAAAGCAGGGGTGATATAAGAGAAAATAATTACTGTTTATAATCTTGAGAAGTGAAAGGGAAAGATGATCTGCTGTTGCCTTCTGCTTCGCTGTTTCCTTGAAGATGATATACCTATGCTATCCATATGTTTATTTATCCTGCATTTGCTGGCTATTTATAGACTATTCTAAAACTGGTAGGACTGATGGGATGGCCATCCTTATCTCTTGAATGGTGAGTTTCCATGCCATGATGTGGGTTTTTCTGTTGAAGTGTATTGGGAAGAAAATATAGTCCAGTTATTTATGATAAAAGCTATTTTATTTGGTAGTGTTTTAGAACATCACTCTAGAATCCACCTTTAAGAAAGACTTCTTTTAGAGAGGAGAATTGAAAGCAATTGAAAGCAATTTTATTTCATAGATATGGAGGTAATTTTACTGCATAAAACACATTCATACAGAGAAAAAGCAAGTGTAAGTATTCATTTAGTGTACACGAACAAAATTATGTCCAGTGTTTAGACAGCTACTGTGGGCAATTTGTAGAGAGAAATCAAGTCCCTACTGGAAACACTCCTCAGCAACACCTTTCTTTTAATACACCTTTGATTAGTATTTTTTTGTTTCTTATAAAGAAACTTGCAATGTTTAGAGAGTGAACATACTGTGAGACATATTGACTAGCCTTTGACAGTAGGCATTTTCAGAGCTTTACAGTGTATTTGCTGAGAGTAGCCGTTGCTAAATCATTTAATTTAGCATAACTGCTCTTGGGATTAATCTGGTTTTGCAGTTTCCTTATTACATTATGGGATGCCTGTAAAAGTTAAAGTATCCTTGTCAAATTTCTAGATATCTTTTTTCTTTGTCATCTCAGGTAGGACTTGGAAGCATACCTCCTCATGTTAGCATTTCATGTCATTTTGCTTTCCTGTGCTTTCCTTGTTGTTGCAAAGGGTTTTAAATTCCTGGGACTGCTGGAAATGAAGGGTAGTAGCCAATGGCTTGACATACAGGTGCCAACAGGTAAAAACTGAACAACCCGGGGACTGATACTGGGGGCCATATTGTTCAATATCTTCATCAACCACATGGACAAAAATGTGGGCAAAGATACAAAATGCACATTCTGCAAATCTGTTGATGACAGTAAATTCAGAGTGGCTGGCACACTGATTGACGGACCTTCAGTCCAGACAGGTCTTGAAAACCTTGAGAGCTGAACCAACAGAAACTTCATTGAGTTTCTGGATCTGGGACAGGGTAACTCCATGCATCAGTACAGGCTGGATACCAACTGTCTGGGTCGCAGCCCTTCTGGGAAGAACCTGGGGGGTGATAATGAACATCAAGTTGAACATGACTCAACAGTTTGGTCTCATCATATTAAAGCAAAACTCACAGTTTTGCAGAAATGTGGCTGGCAGAGTGAAGGAAGTGGTCATGCCCTTCTGCTTGGTGCTGTTGGGCCAAATCTAGAACACTACATCCAGGTTTGGGTCCTTCAGTTCCATGGAAATGCTGAGAAACTGGAAAGATTTAGCTGAAAGTTACTGAGAGCTGAGGGCCCTGGAGCACATGAGCTGTCAGAAAAGGCTGAGAGATTACTTAGTTTTACCTAATCTGAAGAAGAGGAGGCTAAAGGGTGGTTAGATAGCAGCCTACAACTGCTGAAGGACAGAAATAAAAATGATAGACCCAAACTTTTCTTAGTAGTGCTGGGTAGAATAAAGGTCAATAACCACAAATTGTTGCTTGGCAGGTTCAGGTAGGACATTAGAAATCTTTTTGACTAGTGCAACACTGGAGCAGGTTACCCAGAGGAGACGTAAAATCTCTGTCCTTGGAGGTTTTCAAGACTTAGGCAGAGAAAGCCATAGCTGACTTCATCTAGTTTTGGCAATAGTCCTCTTTTAAGATGGAGGTTGGGCTAGAGACTTGCAGAGGGAGGGTTGTTGGAGGGGCATCTCAAGCAACAGTTCTGCGAGCCTGCACGTTTCCATGTGTAAAATTTCAAGAAAATGTTGTCATCTTTAGAGAAGCTCTGTCTGTTTGATTACCCACCTAAAGTTAAATTATTTCAGTATTACCTGGGTGTGCCTTAGTAATTTCTGACTGGCAAACAAAGACACAAATGATTGCAGAATTTAAACCATGTTACATAAAAAGTTATCATTTTAAATTACCTGAAGAAATTATCTCTTAATACGTGAAAAATTTAAACCCAAATTAGATGTCTTTCTAAAATATGTATTACACAAGAAATTCTAGGACTGCCATTTCTAGGATGTATTATGTGAGAAGTGTCCTGTGCTATGCAGAAGTTCAGATTCCATTATCCTGGTGGTGCCTTCTGTCTTCAAAAGTAGCACTGAGTTAATTCAGAGGCAAAACAGATCTCTGTTATGATTATGCTAGATGAGGATTGAAGTTCTGGCATGTATCGTGACAATTATTTTTAAAGAATACTAAGTCAGTCTAGACTTACTTCATGTCCTGATAGAATAGATTGACTGAAAATTTTTACTTATCTGAAATGGCAGCTCCACAAAAAGCAGTCAAGATGCCAGCAGCATGCATGGGAGAAGGACTGAAAAATGCTCAAGTAGAACATTTTCTATCCTGTGACTAAAAGTCAAAATACAGTAGAAATGATTGACTGGGTAGAGAAGAAAAGAAAGAAGGAATAGCCGGGTATGTTACTGGACAGTTAGTGGTTCAGTTCACAACTAAATTGAACGTGTTGACTGTCAACAAGATATCATCATTGATAGATTGAACTGTCATAGAAGAGTGACCTAAAAGGCAGAGAATAGAGGAATAAACTGTGTATTTGAAGTACTGATTTTTTTAAAAAAATTTTTGGGTTTTTTTCCGATTTGAGAAACTGCTACGACCAAATGCTGGTTATATAGCTTGTCTCCAAATACTCTTATCAACAGCCCTTTTGTTTTCCATTAAATCTGATTACAGAACTCTGCAATTTTGACTTCATCAGATGTAAAAGTGCTCGAGGAGTCAGAGCAAAATTTGTGTGTGTGTTTTCTTTCTTTGTTTTTGTCTTTAATGTGAACACACCTGTACCTTACCTTCTTTGCGCACGGTTTCTTGAGCTGTATGCACTCACTGCAGAATTAAAGTCTCAGTGCCATCAGCCACTCCTGATACCACTTTGTATCCTTGGTCATGGTTCTGTTCTTACCAGGTGTAATGATTTATTCATTGAGTTTTTGTTTGGAAGATAGTTATACTCCTTTCCTTGATGTTGAAGACAATCTACTTCCCTTGTTTGAGAGACTTGAGTAAGCTGTCTGCTTCTGAAGAGGATAATAGTTCTCTTTAATCTCATTACCCCTTCCTGCCTCCGATATGTGAAGGATTTAATCTCTTCTGGAGACCAGACCCCTACCTTGTGAAAATCAGCCCTGCTCTGTTGAAGTAAACAAAACTCAAAACACGTGCTCAAACCTAACCATGAACTTCAGTGCTGCTTCAACCACGATTCAATTATGGCACAGTATACATGTGGAGGGGAGGGTGTGTGTAATGTTTATGGTTTCATACCTTGACTGTTTTCAGATATAATCTTTTGGTTTACGCTGGACTCTGTGTGAAATACATTCTTAAATCCAGCAGTGACCATTTTAAGCCATTTTTTTTGAATGAACTCTAATTCAGCCTCATTTCCTTTCTTCTCCTGTAGCTGTTCAGAAGTATAAAAAAATCAAGCATAGATCAACAGTGAAAAAAAAGGAAACAGGCACATTTACCACTTAATTATTACAGTATATTGAGTGTCTGTGTGGGAAGGGGCACTTCAGTGCTCCTCTCTGTCTGGTACATCCTCAATGTGATGGAAATTATTCATTTCACTACTGCTAATGCTCCCATTTTAAAAGCACACAGGTTGAGTTCTGCTCAGTGCAGAACACGTTGGCCTCGGTCCAGGAGAACATTTTACTTGTCTGGTCATCCGTAAACACGTAGGCAGGCTACTCATGGGCTTCAGTTTACCTCGTGTACCTCGGTCAGGGCAAGAGTGCTCAACACCTTTCCTAACTCAGCCCTCGTCACTGTCGTAGGTGAGCGGTGTGCAAGCAGACTTTTACAAAAAGAATTGACATGCTCCTCTGGGTAATTTAACTCATGAGACTAATAACCAATCTGTGATTAATATTTCTGCATCTTGACTTGTTCAATGTATGTTTTATTTGGAGGGTTTACGTCAAGGTTATGGCAGGGGCACTTTGCTGCTATAATTTCTGTTGTGGAATGCAGTTCTTGTTGGAATAAGGTACATCATGTACTTTTACTCTTTTGTCAGAGAGCAGAAAGACAAACACGAATGATGGACTCGGTCCAGTATGCAGAATTTTGTGAAAGTCGGCAACTGAGTTTTTGTAAGTATTATAATGGCTGCTCTGTATTAAGATGTTCAGTTATTATTTCATGTAATAGAGAACACAGCAGAACCTCATGTTTTTTTAAAGCAGTTTTGTTTCATCTGCAATAATAAAACTTTAAATTCTTTGTCCACGTAACTCCTGGGAACAGTTAATGTAGCATAGTTTCAGGCTGTCAGGCAGAGTATTTTATTTGAGTATTTACCAAGCTTTCTATATGGTCAAATACTGTGCTGGTGGGGCCAACTGCAAAGATGGAACTGGTAAAGAGTTAAAGGATTAAAACACCCGTACTTGCCTGAAGTCTGTCATGGTGGTGTTACAGTCAGCATATTAGTAAAGTTTCATGGTTGCAGATTTTTCAGAATGCATCTAAAATTAGAGAAGAGCAGCAAGTTTTGCTTTTATTTCCCTATCCGCAGAGACACAAAGAACTTACTAAAGAGTCTTTTCTATTTTAAGCTGTAAGCTCCTGCTGTGGAATTTATTCAACGTTAGCCAAATTCATCAGTATACGCCATTCCAACACTAATAACATGATGACAGAATTAGGGCTTTACTAGCACTGAAAACCAACTTACTAGAAGTACTTGTGGGCCACAACTATAATGAGCTGTAAATTAATGGGCTTGATCATGTAGCAAAACATCATTACAGAAGCGGTTAAGTGATGACTAAGATTTTAGGTCAAATGTTAGAGAAAGTGAGGTGAAGGAGCCAGTAAAAATCATGAAAAAACAGCACATGATCCAACAACGCAGACTTGAACACAATGGTGTCTTTAAATGAGAGACCTTATCTTGTTCTTCCTTTTAAATTCGAAGAGTGACTCATTTATGGCAAATAAATGACACATTTGAAATACTGTTCTGTATCAGCAAATGTCAGCAAATGTAGGAAAACATGTTTTGTAAGCATTTCTTTTCCTAATTCAATATGTTTTGTAAGCTTAGTTATAATTTGGCATCACACATCTGTGAGCCATTAGATAAATGATACTTCAGATTAGGGCGACTTCAGCAAAATGAGAGGTTTGTGATAAAGTCATCTTTAAAACCCAAAAATTATCATCTGGAGACAGAACAAATAGAAATCCTAAATTTGCAAAATAAAATTGAATGTTGCTGACCAGGGGATTGTGACCTATAAAAAAATCCCAACAGTATTTTCACAGTGCTCTTAAATGACTGTGCCTATACATACTTTTAGTGTCATTAAAGAATAAGAGAATTACAGTGCTTAGAAAATAGTAGCAAGAGAGACTCATGCACAAATTCAATTGCATAATATAAACTCAACTAGATACCACATACTAAAGGCCATTTTGCCACAGCAAAGGCTATTTTTGCTTACTTTCTTATATGTTAGTAAAAATTGAATGTATTGCTATGTTTAAAGTAGTAAACCCTTTTTACTGTAATATAAACCCATGAAAACTGTGTCACAAGAGAATAAACCTGGAAGGGACTTCAAGAAGCATGTTCTAACAATATGCATTCATAATTACAGCTCCACATATTTCTGCGCAGTTTTAAAGACAGGGGAAAGAAAAGGTCCATCAAAGATGAAGTACTACACGATTACAAATTTAAATTCTAGGGAACATTTTGTGGTCCTGCTATCACTTTCACACTTTTTCTCCTGGTTTGTTTTTTTTTTTTTTTCCCCCCTGTCCTCAGCAATCCTGTGTAGCTTTTTCATTCCCTCCTAAAAAATAACCATTATTTACGCCTGTTTTCTGTTGAATACCTGACTTCTCTTTAACTTTTTATTCCTCGTTGAAGACTGTCTTTGAAAACACTGTTTCAAATGATTCTCCCACCTTGTGTTTACTTCATTTTGCTTGTCCTGTCTTCACAAACAGCCCTCATTAAGACCTCTATATTACTAGCTTCTTTCAGTCCAAGTCTCTACAGCTTTCTGTGATCAGCTTGTCCACCACAGACCTAAGTAAGGTTGTCCAGTTTTTGGTTCTCCTGTGAATTTCCACGATGCTTTTTGAGTTCCGCTTTGATATCTCTCGTTCCTCCTTTTACTCTCTCAGCAAATATCATCTTTCTTCGTCCCATATTTTTCTCTGTACTTTCTCCTAAGTGATCTCATCTATTAGCTGTGTGAAGTTCTCATATGAATGTTGATGATTTGCAGATCTACGTCTATCCTCATTTCTTCATATCCAAAGCACACTTTAAAAACTCATCTACAAATCATTTTGGCCAGCTTGTCAGCACCTAATCCCTGCATGGTTAACACAAGGACTTCGTAGTTCTTCTCTCCTTCTTCATTTGTCTTCGCCGTTGTTACACAATTATATCATTTTATCTGGGCCCAGATTTGTGTTGTTTTCTTCTAGTGCTTTCTCTCATTCATCAAAGATGCGATCCAATCATATTATTTCTTTTACAGTAATATATTCAAAATCAGGTTTGTCCCATCTATGGTCCTCTGAGGTAGACCCTTCCTTCTTCTGAAATCTCCTATGTGATTGATTAACTGTGTTTTTCTCTTTACTCCATGCTGCTTATGGGTCTCCAAAATGTTGTGTATGAAATAACAGTCTTTTCCTCACTAATTCCATTTTGACAATTCCTTCCTTAGCCAGTCAAATCACATTCATACTCCTTGTTTCACATTGACAGTATTTTATATGACTGGAAAAAATGCATTATTTTGGCCTTCCTGTTGTTAACTTCTCCTTTTCCCCTTATGATTTTAACTGACAGCAAAGAAAGCATCCAAGTTTCGTGACTGGTTGGATTGTAGCAGTATGGAAATAAAGCCAAATGCAGTTGCAATGGAGATTTTGGCATATTTAGCATATGAGACTGTGGCACAGGTAAGGGAGTATACTCTACTGATTGAACTCTAGCTAAACAAAATGAATTAGTACTTGGATGTACTTCAGCCTCAGATGACTCTGTTGGAAGCCCCTTCAAAAGCATGCAGTCACTGCTTCAGCTAACCAAGCTAACCTGATTCCTGCCTGTCTTTCAATTTACTGTATGACAGATGTGTACTATAGCATATTCATCCATCTGATAAACAAATAGAGATGTTTTATAATGGTTACAGGGGAGAGTGGAGTCCAGCACGAACTTTATTCAAGTCCAAACTGAAACCACATACTTTGCTATGTGACCTTTGGCAGCGCACTGAGGCTCATTCAACCCCATTGCACAATTGGATTAAAAAGCAGGATTTCCTGGAAAACAAAACGTTACCTTAGTGCCAAGACGAGCCCTCTTGGGTAGATAGATTACTCCATATATTTACAAAAGTGGAAAAGAAAGGTTCCTTAGGCTGAAATATCTCTGAATAATTTTGTTTTCAACTGAGAAACACTAAGAATAATCTGACTCAACCCACAACTCCTATCTCTCTTCACTGTTACAATGGCATTTGTAGTAAGTACCATGTCAGTAAACCTACCTGGTTTTGCCCCTCCAGTTGGTGGACTTGGCCCTTTTGGTTAAGCAGGACATGACTCCCAAAGCTGGTGACCCATTCAGTCATGCCATATCTGCCACCTTCATACAGTATCACAACTCTACTGAGGTAAGTCTTGCTTTTTTACATACTAACGCATTTTATGTTTTGCTTTTACATGTATTTGGTAGTTTGTTGCTTTCAAAGTAGATGTTATTGAATGTGGTATCGATATAGACTTCTGTTACAGAGTTTATGAACATTGAAGTTATGAATTTAGACAGAAAGACATTAAATTACAGCTCCAAATGTTAAATTCTTAGCAGCATCTTTATATTTATAAGTAAATCCTCTTTTCTTGAGTGGAAATTCCTTCTCTGTATTGAAGGCTCTCTCTATTGCAGATTTGGAGATTAAAGTTGTCAACAGTGGCAAGTGCAATAGGTGCTGTATTGCATGCATTGCCGCAATACAGATGTTATAGTAACCTCTAGAATGAGCAAATTTAATTCTGCATTACATCTCTTCTAATAGTAAATTTGAGAAGGCAATAACTTTTTTTTTGTGATTTGATTATATAATGGCTGTTTGACATCTTGCTTTTATAGCCACATCTCTTAGGGCAATCTACAAGTGTGAAGACCAGTCTTGACTCTCCTGAAAACACACCGCCTCCTACACCCACACCCCCAGCATCAACAGGACAGCAACATCTTGGGAAAACCCCGTCAGGAGCCTTGGGGAATGGTGGAATTGGACAGGACTCTACCAAATCCAAACAAAGGAAAAGAAAAAAGGTATTTGGTGCACAAGCCTGAAAAAAGAGAAGAAACCAAAACATCTTCAGAAAATAATGTGTCTTTTCTTAAGTATTGATTTTAACCTATATCATATGTTAACTACCGATGTTTTTGTAGGGCCAAATGTGTGGCTTGGTGTTCTTTCTATCAGAACTAGGCTAAAGCTTCTCAGTAATGCCTGCAAACTGAATTTTGTTGAGGTAACAACTGCTGCTTCGAAGATGAACTGCTCCTCTACAGCCAAAGCACTAGACACCATCCCAAATAATCATCCCCTTCTCTGACAGTAGCAGCTAGCACAGGTTTTGAGGGTCAAAGTGTAAGCAAAGTAGGCCAAGAGGTAGTTGTGATTTTCCTCCTCCCAGCAGCCTTTGGCAACTGCCTTTTTTGCCTATAACAACTTGGCCTGACCTGCTTTATTTTTATGCCAGTTGTTTACATTCAATCTAAATATTTGTTTACTTAGCATACATTATGGACATTTCTTATTCAGAGTGTGAAATGTAAATATTACAATTCCTGTTTTAGATCCTTGGTATTCTATCTGAGAGAGAGATATATACCTTAAAAGCACAAGGGAACTAGATTTGATTAAATAAACTGGATAGGAAGCACTGTATTAGTCACTTAGGGCTTTTTTGAAAAGATGTGATGGCAGTACTCATTTTGCTGCAAAGCAATGGAGTGATTTGTGATTTTCTTATGTGTGTTGTTATTCTCCTACAAATACTCATTTTTCAGAGTTTAACCAGTGATTTTTACAATGACAGATAGAAAAAGGTGCATTTTCTTCTTCTAGTGTCGTCAGTGCTGTAGATACTCTAATACATTCAACTTTCTCTCTGCCCTTATTATATTCCATTTAGAACGCCTTTAGTGAATCCTAAAAACCTCTCTGAAGCCTTTTGCTTTTTCCTCTTCCATTTTATATTACATTTGATTATGTTTTGTTTCTGTAGCTGATTTCTATTATTCCTAGGAACAAGAATTTAGCTGGAAATGTGAGTTTATTTTCAATTCCTAGTGCTTGACTTAATGCCTTTTGATATAATTCTAAAAAGTGCACCATTTTAATGAAATGTTCCCATGACTTATCCAATTTGGTTAGATATTTACTGGATATAACTGAGGCATTGAGACAAACGAGTTAACTTGGTGAAGAATGTTATTCTTAGCCCATGAAGGCCCAGTGCAGCTGAAAATATTTGAGTTTCACATTCCCTTTATGAATGTCAATCAGCAAGGGAAGAATCTGCCATCGTATTATGAATAATTCTGTGTGTACACACACGGGCTCCAGTGGACGCAGCACTCTTGAAAATAAAACATTTTGTAAAAACTGTCCCAAGTTTGAAAGCATTAGTATATAGTGTAAATGTATGAGGGGACTGTGTATGTGTGTACATTAAATTCCAGCGTATAATTTAAGTTTTTGTCATTCTTAGTACATTCACTAATATTGTTTTCATTAATTCATTACCAAGCAGCCGTCATTCTGATAAGTCATCTGAATTCTGGCAAGCAGCTGTGTCTAGATGGAGCCTAAACCAACATTTCAGTTTGACTAGCAAGGAGAAAAGAGTAACTTTTTCTTTTAAAATCCTGGGGATATTTTTGTAAATCAATGGACCAGTAGCAGTGAATTATTATTTTTCCTATTTAGGGTCCTTAAGCCAAAAAGTCATTTGAAATTTGAAAATATTCCAATTCGAGGTAATTAAAATATTTTTGCATCCTTCTAACACCATTATGTGACATGTTTCATCTTCAAATTTCAATCTGATATTACTCAAGGTGATTTTGGTGTCAAATTGCTTTCCACTTTGGGTACTTGTTCAATATTTTCCCCACCCCTTGACATCATAATGAGAGCCTGAAATGTTTTAAAAATAGTTTCTGTGGTTATTGCAGTATGACTTATATGACCCTTTCATTTTAGTTTGAACATTTTCTGCTCTTTTCAATTGCAACATACAGCAGCACTAGGTGAAAGATTTAAGAGGACAAATGTGGTGTTCTTTGGGTCTCTTAAGCAAAGTTCATGTAAAAGTCCTCTTTGATTTGTTAATAGCTTTTTTTCTCTAATGTAGTATGTGGAAGCAATGATGTGTATCCTCAGGAAAAAAAAATTGGTCCATTTTATAAAGGTTTATTTTCATACTTTATGCACTGTAGGTCTGTTGTGTGTTTTTGATTTAGTAACAATTTATGTGTTTTTCTGTTGCAGAGCGCTGCAGCCTGTGGTATAGAGGCTCAAAGCGATGCCATCCAGCCCAGCCACATCAGAGAGGCCATTCGACGCTATGGCCACAAGATTGGCCCCCTTTCCCCATTCACAGTACGTAATAACAGAGTTATAAAAAGTTATATTTATAATCTTAAAGAACTTTGATTTTCAAGTGGTCAAATGAAGAAGCTTTGGAATTGTTGAGAGCAATTTGTGGTGACTGTAATTTTCTTTATAAAAGTGGCATAATTCTCTTGGGAAATAAAACTTAGTAATTTCTGTCTCTTTTTGGAAAGACAAAAAAGTTTTTTTTTCTTTTAAATATTATTTTCTTTCAATTACAAATTATGCTTTTTTGTTAGTGCTTGAATTTTCTGTTTTTGCAAAGTTTAGGTTTACAGTTATTTTAAATTATATGTATTCCAATATGGTGAGGAGCACTTTATATTCTAAAATTAGTTGTGTGTCAGATACTGCTCCTATTGGAAGCTGAACTCTCAAGTGACACATTTACGGTTGGAGAAAGAAGAGAATGGTTTCTTTAAACAACTTTGAACCTCCACTAAAATGTAATAGAACTGAGCTTGTGGTAAAACGCTGATGGGTTATGAGGTTTTGCCATAATTTTTTCTATGCAAATTGCAAATCCATTATTCAGAGCAGCCAAACGAATTCTTCATTTAATTTTCCCAGCTGATAAAAATGTGAAAGTAGTCTGTCTCCAATGTCATAAATTGGGGTAGTTTTCTTCTGATCTGCTGTTCTATGTGGCATATATCCCTGCTTACCTCAGAATATCTACATTTACAAAAGAATGAATGTCAAAGAAATCATTATAGGAAAGAAAAAAAACCAAACTAGATCTGAGCTCCTAAAAATCAGGAAGAAATTGTCCATTTTTGGAGCGATTTTAGGAAAGGAAAATGATTCTGTATTTGGAGGAAATTAATTGACATAAAAATTATTTAGAAGTATATGAGGACCATAAATATCAAGTAGATAGTGGGACTTGACCTCAGAAGAGAGGAACAGGAAAAAATAAGAGTAAATGAGTACGTGAAGTTATAATTTTCCTGATGTCAAAACTGATCAATGCTTTTATAAATGGCAGTAAATGTTTGGTTTATTAATGATAGTTGATAAGTATTTGCAATGAATTATCTTTACATAATTTTACCTCTCTCTTTTGCCACTCACAAATGCTAGATTAATATCAGGTAAAGCATAGGATAGAATTTCTAGTCCAAAATAGAGAAGTGTCTTTAGCAGAAGTTTGCTAAGAGATGTAGCTAAGAACATGGTGATAGTTTCCGAAAGCAGAGAATATATTTAATTTTATTATAAAGAAGTAAAGAGCTCACATAAACAAGGACAGAGAGGTAAGTCTGCCTTCCTTGACCCTCACTAAAAGTGGTTTGGTTAATTATTAACCAAAGTTTGAAATTTCTTTGCAACTACAAGATACAATAAAATACTCTGGTTTGGGTTTTTTTTCTTTATGTCCTGCAATCTTGTGAACTTCCCAAATAGTACAACTAACTGAACAATTTAATTTGTTGACATTACCTACTGTCAACATGGTTAATGAGATGAGCAGATCTTGCTCCCTCTAAACAAGCCAAGAAAGAGAGAGGGAATCTTGGGTCATCTTCTAGATGCATACAGATCTTGTAGAGCTGTAATACGATTTCTTTTTTTAATGAGAAAGTTCAGGAAAAGCATTTTGGGCGATACTATAGAATAAGCATTTTGGTCTGCCAAGTTTTGGGGACAAACATTGCTATCACAGTTGTCCAAAATGGAAGTACCCCAAACTTCCTGTAAGTTCCTTACAGGTGCAGAAAGTGTGAAGGTAGATTGATGCTTCCTTTGACCCTACCTTTTCGTATTGAAGACTCTCACGCTGTTGTATTAAAAATATTATCTCTAAGCGTTTTGAACAGTATTGTGGCAACACTTCTTTTGAATGACTTCTGCTTTCTCCTATTGCCACTGCCTTCACGATAGTTTCTTTGTGTATCTGCATGACCTCATAGGATGACAGAACCAGGAGGAAAGGTGGCTTTACTCAGTGTGCTTCTTGTGATTCTGTGGTGATACTTTAAAACTGCAGAGAGAGAAATATTGAATGGGTATTTGTCATTAGATTCAGTGAAGTCATGCTTTCAGCTGTTTCCATCCTTAAAACTAACCTAAAGGTCATGTTGACAAATTAGGAATATACATTTGTGCATCATCGCTTTCATTTCTGTTAAGCCTGCTGATCATTCTTTCACATCAGGTCTGATTTGTAGTCAATAGGTGCCCTCACGGTCTGCTCTAGGTAAGAAGGAAGGATTTTTCTGCATGTCCAGATATTTTACACTAAGTTTTCTGATGGCAGTTTACCATTCATGTTAACAATCCTACTACACAATCAAGGAAAAGAATGAAAACAGCTCACTGAAGAAACAACCATTTATGTGAGCTGTATACATGTTCAATTCAGTCCCTACGATGTATAAATTAGACTGAACTGTAAGTAAAAGGCATAGTTCTACATTCTTACAATAGTAACAAGAAAGAAGTGCAAGTCTGCTAATGCCAAAATGCTATATTACTCCAGTATAAGTTTATGATACTTGTACAGGAAGAATGTAGAATCAGTCCTACAAACCTAACCATGTACGTAACTATCCCAGATAACATGATGTGTTAGGAACACACAGGAAATCTCATACCAGGAGTACCAGGCAAAATAAGTTAACCAAAGTATTCAGCAACAATTTTTTGAAAATAACACCATGTTACTGCTCTTGAGTGCTGACCGTTGAGAAAAGATTGGGGAAAGAAAAAGGAATCACTTTAAATGCTTTCCTGTCTTCCAAAGTAATATTACGTGAACTTTAGCACAGTACAGTTATTGGGATTTAATAACTTATTTTAATTTTGTAGGCCTATGCTATTCTGAAATTTTCTTGGATATGTGACTATTGAGCAGTAAGGAGGATTTACAGAAGAATTTACCCTTGCTGTAAATTAGTAGGAAATAATGGACAGCTCTGGACTATTTTTTCATTTTAAATAATTTCCATCTCATTCCAGCCAGTCATATGAGGCAGAAAGCAAACATTTTCTTTTTCGTTTGTGAGATTATTTTTAATTTAGCTAGAGTTGTTCTTTGGCTTTTTGCCATGCATTCAGTAGTCTCCCCGAAATTCCCTGTGTATCATTTTTAATGTTTATGATTTAACAACATTGGGTTTTGAAAGACTTTATCATCTGTACAAATGGATGGAGTTTAAGTCAGCAGTACATCTGGAGGAATGAAAAAAAATCTGTACCTGCAAAGTATCTGATAATATTTCCCCATTTAAAATTGCGAGATACTATAAAATCAATGTTCTCTGTATGAAAAATCCCATGCAGATGGTTGCATTTTAAACCAAAACCAGACAAGAATATTCTAACTGGTCTTGATACTAAAATACAGTGGTGTTTTCATCAAGAAACTTCCATGTATGGCGGACTGACCTTGGGATGGATGCATTCAATATGAGGTTCACCTGTGGGCAGGCTTTCTTCCCTGAGCACCATCGGTCATGGTCTCATATTGAAGCTTGACATTGGAGGAGACAGAGTGAGTGGATCTCATAGGTTGGTTCCATTCTAGGAATTTCCAAAGTCAACCTTCCCATTTTAGATGTAAACAAGAAAGCAGTAGTTCATATCCAGGATCCCTTTCAGATATGTTTCTCTAGTGAAACTGTCTGACAGAGATCTTGCCTTATGTTCCAGGTCTTCATGTGGGATTCAGGAAGACAAGTTACCTCAGTCTTCCATATGCCATCTCACAGCTTGGGCACCAGGTTGTTCTCAGTTTTAGGGTTCTCATTGCTTAGTTCCATTTCTTACACACTACTGCTCCAAACGATTAAAGGAAGGGAGTTTAGTTTTCTCTACTCGTGTGACTAATGTTTTTCATTCCTCAATTCTGTAGTTTTAAAAAGGTGAAAGATTTTCCATGAGTAATGTTGGGGTGCAGTTGGTGGCTGTCTTTCCGTGTCACCCATCCATGGATGGTTTTTCAGTGTATGGTAACACACGACTGTTACATTTCTTTCTTCTAATTTGAAAACTCATCCCTTAGCACTTTTGGTTCAAATACTAACTTTCTGAATACAGCAGACCCTTGACAACTTCCAGGCTGTTGGTTATTAGATTGATCCCTAAATACCCCTTCTGGTGGCTTTAAAGAGATCAGGGGAGGGTTTAGATCCTTCTGATACAGTTTTTCCCTCAGGCACCATAGAGAATAGCTCAGACTTCTGTCTAAAGTTATATCAAGGTTTTGTACTACCTAGAAAATAAACAGAACCTATGTCAAATAGTTCCTGTTACTGAGATCTGAAGAAATGGCCATACCAGTGGTCATTGTTATTGCATGAAAACTCAAAGGTGTGCTTGTACGTCTGGACAGAGAACGCTGTCATTGGAGTCATGCACTGTGTGAATATCCCTGGAAGTAAGCCCTTGACGAAGGAGAGGTTAATTTTCTGTAATGGATTTGCATATATTTTGGTTGTATATTTTCCCATCTGCCTGTCTTTTCTCAGTTTTATTCAGACTTCCAGGAGGAGAGAAACAAAAGGCTTTTGTGACAGTTTAGCCAATGCAAAAAAATAACCAGTTATGGCTAAGAATCCACTTGACAGGGCATCGTAATGGCTTCTCAGTACTTCAGGAAGGAGCTATTCCTGAATACACCAAGAGTCATTTTCTACTCAGCATCCAGTGTTTAACTGGGTATGAATCTAAGATGACACTTACCTCATTCATGTCCTGGTATGCTTTGCTTCCTTGTGGGAGTAGGTTTCCCAAAAGAATTGAGGTGTGTTACCTAAATGCAGTCATAGTGGGCGGTGACTGTTTAGCCCAGGACCAGTCATGTCACTATCTGAGAATTAATGTAAATTGTTCTAAGTGAATACATAAATATTTCCAGACTGTTAGGTAACTATTAGTTTTGTTAGATGGATGTTTTTTACAGAAATAGAGATAATGAGTATGTCCAAGCATTAAACCAATTATAGAGGTGAACAGCGCTAGTAGCAGTAATAATTGCGATGACACTTGGATTTTTATAGCACCTTTGTTAAGGACATCTCAAACTGCAAACTTTTTGC